CCATCGGTGCTTTCTTTTGGATTTGATGGCCACCTGAAACTTGATGGGCCTCCACTTCCTTTCAGGTTTTTCACCTGTACTCTTAGGAAATGGTTAGCTAGGCCGGCGTGTGGCAACCGCTTTCAAATCAGTACGCATAATCTTGAGCGTGTGTCTGCGTGGGGGGGAGGGGCGCAAGAGCGTGGACGGACACCACGTTGTTCTGGCGACCCCCATTCAACACAAACACACACTTTGCTTGTTGCGCTCCAAGAACGGATCAGAAGGGCAAGGATCTGCTCCCAGCTGTCACCTGCATCTTATGGCGTGGAGTGAAGTACGCCAAACTTTCCTCCAGCAGCCATCTCTCACCTTTCTCTCCACACACTGCGGTGACAATCGGTTTATCCCATGGTCCTATGCAAGGGCCTTTTTGCAACCCACGTCGCCCTCACGACACTTGCCAACACCACAGTCTACGGGCGGACACCCCGTGGAACTTCAACCTGTTGACGATGACCATCTTCTCGGGCTTTACATCAACACAGCCGAACGACACATCACCTACCAACTTCTACATCCCTCTGGCAAATCCGAGATCACTTCTGGACCCAGCTGCTGCCGCCTACGACGTACTGGACTCCAGTCGAGGATCCGACCATCCACACCATCCGTTAACTACACCTGCCCGACATCCATCGTCCTCCCTCGTTGACCTCTGCGTAGCAAAAAGCTACTCACCTCAGCAATGTCCCGCCGCACTACGAAAAAGTCTGCTGCATAACAACCAGCTGTTTCTACGGGGCGCTGCATGTTTTACATGTCCTGCATGTACTCCATCTAGGGCACACTACTGTTCCTCCCTCCCACTTTTGGGCTTCCCTTAACTTCTTTTCTTCCCACCAAGCGTCGATACGGCTATGTGTGTGTGTGTCACCCCCCGTCTCCACAGTGCTCATTTTCTATCCAGGATAGATTCCTTTAGTCCGCCGTCAGTTCATTGCAGAGATGCCAGCGCAGGGGGACCATCTATATGCTGTGAGCGATGGTCCAACGAAGCGATCACAGTGCATGCGGATATCACCGCTGATCACGGTGACGTACCTGCAGTCAAGGAATGTTTATATTGGTGCGGACTCCTTCACCTTACGGTTTGCATATGGCCATTGACAGCTTGAGGTCTTCCTGTACTAGTCGGCTAATGCAGTAACTAAGTCGTAAAGCGCTAGCGCGTGCTTGGTACCGCCCTGAATTTTACGGTAACTCTTATGAGCTCTTTCTTAAGCGTGTCTGTGTCTGTTTGCATATGTTTGCTGGGGGGGCAAGGGTGGTCTGAGGAAACTGATGGGCAGACCCCACATGGTTCTGGCGACGCCCACTCCACACAACCACACGCTTTGCTTGTGCTCCAAGGGCTGCACTGTTCTGCGAGGTTGCAGTATTGCAGCATTGAAACGAAAGGTCGTCCTGCACCCTGCTCCGAACCGGTTTAGCCAGCTCTGCGGCCTTCCAAATGGTATCTGCATCCTGCACAAAGCAAAACGTGGAAAAGGCCTAGGAAGCTCAAAGCTGGTGAGTTGTCGGCTTGAACATCAGTTGGCATTAGCCGCTAGTCTTGGTTGCTAACCAAAACCCCCAAAAAATTGATGAGCATCAAAGGTTAATTGTTGAGGTTTACCCATGTTTTTCTTGAAATATTGCTTCTTCGAGGAGCAAATCCAAGCTTTTTGAAGAATGCAGGGATCTCAGAAATTCCAAAAGGCAATCAGTATCTCCTTGCAGCAAATGACCACAGCCAAATGCTCTTTTGGTAGCTGGATACCCTGACAATCCGAATGTGTTTCTGCAAATTTGCCTGTTCAAAACATTCCACGCTCGACCTGCGCTGACACCGCTCCAGGCGCTGCTGGAGATGTGGAACGGCGCAGTGGAATGCGTGGCAGTTGCAAGCTGCGCCGTGCCAAGTTCAAAGTGTTCTTCAGAAGCATGGCCTTGGGGCAAAAACATCCGGCAGACTGCGTTCTTCCAGATCGTGCGACGCAGTCCTTTTCATGGGCTTGCCCCGCTGCCTGCTGAGTAGTAGGCAATGGTCATAGGGCCCACACCACCAGGCACAGGGGTAATTTGGGCGGCAACCTTGGCTAAATCCGCAAACAGCTTTTCTGAGCAGCGAACAGTGACTATTTAACGATTTCGTCGCAAAAATTGGAACTGGCGGAGATTCAACCTCAGACTCACAGCATTGCCAGGTCTTCTGAGTGACACCTTGCGCCTCGGCAAAGTTCACATCACCTACCTTGGCAAAGGTTGTCAAATCCAAGCAATCGGACATTCAAACATGAATAGAATTGCCAAAGCTTAAGCAATCTGCATTCAGACTTTGAATTTGCTCTGGGCTCCCCAGACCAAGCGGTACCCAAGCTTTTTGCTGGCATCGTCAACCTACAGTAAACAGCGTATTGGGGCAAAAGCGCAACCCGGTTGAATTGGTATGGCCAAACAGTTGTCAAGCGTCAGCACGATCTATTGCTTTAAGTGTTGGTTGAGTGGCTGCATTGATACCCACATCGATCACCACACACCCTGGCTTTAGCCAATCACCGCCTCAGAACAAATCAAGCGTCCTAAAATGCAAGTACAACTACTGTCTACACCGAATGTTGTTTGGATTTGCTTTGTCTTTTCTTGCCACAATGAGACAAGGATGAGATATGTCCTGGCATTTGTTCACGTGCGTCGCTCCAGCGCAAGCCGAGGCTGCCGCGGACATACTCAGCCTTGCCGACTGCCGCAATGACCTCAATCCAAGAAGAAGCGTATGATATCGCCTATGGCAAAACAATTCCATCCAGGATAACATATTGTGGCAGGTAGATATTAGTCATGCAAGCTAATGGTGTGGTATATTATATGTATATTTATTTATTTATATCTTATAGTGACGGACAAACTCTTACAACATAGTTTTTCCAAACGACGACACACCATGACTTAGAACAAAAAACGGGCACGGTGTTAGAACAAAAACTTACATTACACACTAAGAGCATATCCAACCAGCACCGGCAAGAACATATCCACCCATCACTTAGAACACACAAAGATTGGGCTTAAAGACGTGTAGTGTTGCCTCAATGATGATAAAATCCATATGGAGAGCCTGCGCTTAGAACATACCAAAGTCGCGTGCCAAACTCTCGAGATAGTGGAACACACCCAAGTCTGCTGCAAAACTTTTTTCTTCAAGGGGTGTCCCCCCCACAAATGGTATTGCCTGCCCGATGGGCAGACGCAGACTGTTCTTGCATGTTGCTTGGCCCTCCGCTGAATGCTGAGAAAGAACACCTATATCACATCTCTGTGCAATTTTATGTATATAGATAATAGAAATGAGTGGAGTATAATCATGACAGCACGGAACACCAGAACCTCGGCACGGAGAACTACGAGCTTCTTCAAAAACTGCGCAGTAGATCCTCATGGAGGACGTTACAAAGACATCCAGTCTGTGAGTTTACCAAAGCGATGTGTATATGATATACATATACAAATATGTAGAGATAGATATCAAATGTTCTAAGAGAATGGCTCTTGCTACTGTGAACGCTCATCCAGATGGATCGATCGCGCAGGAATATTCTTTCCACGCATGTTAGTGCAGCCTGCTTCGCAAGATCACGATTAGGGTATTCGGAGAAGAGCAACTTGTGGATGAAGGGGTCCGTCGTCCGCACCAAAAACCCATATTGGTGCTCCTGAACTCCTTCTGGAAATTCCCCACGTTGTGTAGTGGATTCCGCCATTGCTCTTGGCTCTACAGCAGGATACAATAAACACATGTAAAAAAAATGCATACGCCATGCGTATTGTGGAGGATTGTGAAATTGAGTATGTGTGTATGATGTGTGTACGCATATGTATGCACACATGGACAGCGTGTTCAAAGCCAACACTGTGGACCAGCAGCAGCGCGCACATGCTTAGAACATCATGGTGCATATGTACCGCCCTCCAAGTATAAACATGGCGCTTGCAATCCACACATGTTCTTAGTATGTGGTTCTAAATGTGTGGTTTTTCGTTCTTACCTTTAGTTCTTAGTCTGGCGCTAGAACAAATAAAAAATAAGAATCCAAATGATGTTCTACGTGGTTGTTTGCCACTATATATATCTTGCAACAATATGGATTCAGGTAATAGTCTATCTTGGCCAAGCAACGACGTCAGCATTGCGGAGGTAGGAAACCATGTCTTGTGTGCGAGAGTGGCAAACGGTCACGGTAGCATCCATAGATTGCAAGATCTGCGACACTGGCATCCCCACAATATTCGACCTTCGATGAACATGAAAACACAAGGATACAAGAACTAAAGAAAGGACTTTGAAAAGAGTCTTTACAGGAGAGCGCAAAATTTTGTCAAAGAACAAAGGAGGACGAGTGTTCAGACTAGCAAGATTACCAAGAGAAATGCAAAAAACAAAAGCCTGGTTTTGATTTGACTACATGTTACTACGATAGAACAAGTATTGCAACCGAAAGAGACGCAAAAGATCCTCCTTTTGTAATCTCTTTGTTGGGCAAATACCGCGCCTGCCCACCACAACTGCATTCTTGCCTGACACCTCGACGCCACTCCGCTGCAGTAGCTCAACGCACCCTGCTGGAGTGCAAGGAACCTTGGTCCACTTGGCGTTTGGAACAAACAATGTGAGCGATACATTGCAATCGCAGGTCAGCAACATTCTTCCATCATAGGCTCATGGGTGTTCAAAAGTTCATGAGTGGCATTGACAAAAACATGTACTGTATAACTTTACAGAAAGCAAAAGGAAGAAAGGAAGTACAACGGCAAACCGAACCAAATCCTTCAATCGCCCTGTCTACAACCTATGGCCCAGCAAAGAGCAGCTGGATCAACGTCCGATTAACCATCGTCTGCTTCAAAGAGTTGAGATGAAAACGCGCGGCCTGAGGAGGAGATGCAGCTTCAGGTCAGAAGACATGTTGAAAAACAATGTCTTGGAAAAGGAGGTGGCGTCCGAAGGGGAGTCGAAAAAGCCAGGGGTGGGAGCGATGGCGAAAACGCGCAAAAGTAAAGGTACAGGATTTCACATCCAGCGGAGATCAAAGTCGCGAGACAATAGTCACGCAAAAACCATTGCACATCAAGCCAGCCAAAGACCTCCAAAACAGTTGAGACGAAACATTGTGCGCTTACATGTGGTTCTCAAGCACACCAGGTGCGCAAAACCACTTGCTGAGAACCACTTGCAAAACCACCGGTTCGAGCGTGAGTGGCTGCGCCCACAAGAAGCGAAGGTCAGCCTGCTTCTTTCCTTCCCTCAGTCAACGCAGCCACGCGCTTGCAAGCAGGGTCAAGCGTAGGACAGTCACTGATTTCAGTGGTATGGCTGGGTTCGCAACATATCCTGCCCTCCGCCATAAACCCCGCGTCGCGGCGAGCGTGAACGGGTAGTCCTCCAGCTGAGAATGAAGGAGGGGGAGTATTCCCTCACGCCAACCAGCGAAAGGCGGCGACGGGATCACACGGCGAAAGCATCGACAGACAGCTGACCCACTTCAGCCATCATCTTGGCCTCTTGCATGGAAGCTCGCTGAGCTGGATCGAGTTTGCGCACTCTTAGCAACAGAGCGGCTCTAAGCAACCCCCTCTGCAGCTGCTTCCAGCTCTTCTTCGTGGAGTGGCCGACCAAACACAAAGACTTGAAAAGGGGTCACCCACTCTTGAGCAACCCTCGAACGTCCTCCTCATCACCTGGATCTCATCCACGAGGCCACGTCAATCTCCCCATGCTTTGTTGAGGTTGGCGAGGGTGTAGTCCTGCAGACGAAAAGAATGCACACACACTCTCTCTCTCTTCATGACATCATCCTGTCCAAGAGACCATGCACCCCAAGGCCACAGCGCAAACGGGGAGGAGTTCCAGAGCGGCCTCCATAAAGGAGACCAGGGCTGGGACTCTCCCGGCTCCAGACACAGGCCCAAATAATTTCTGGCCTGGCTGTGAGCCTGTGGCGGAGAGAAAGGTGGAGAGCATCACCAGCAGTCTTTTTCTTGTAATCATGGCAACGATGGATTGGGGCGCCACAGTTGTTTGTTGTCTCTGCACCGTCGCCCTTCCTGCTGAACCGTCTGATCTGACCTTCATCGTGCACTTTCCTCTGGCCATCACGCTCCACGAGTGCTTGACATTGATCAGCAAGTCATCTTCCAGCTACAGGGAACTCTGATTTCAACAAGGCATGCAGAAAGACGCGAAGTGGCCAGTGGACCAGAATTTTGCAAAGAGCAACGCGTCAACCAAGCTAGCAGGAGAAAACGCGACAAGATACAGCGGCAAAATACAGAAGGGCGGTTGGAAGCCTGATGTGTACGGCAACGCCCAGTTTCCAACTCAAACAAGGAACATGTCAGAATCAACTCAGAACGTGTGGAAGAATGACTTCGGAGCAAGGGTCGGCACAGGTAAGAAGGGTATGTCAGCGATGAATGCGCGGACTGAAGAGAAAAGGCACCACAACACCTTGTTGAAGTAGCGACAGACGCTGAGTATGGATGGTCAACTTAATTGAAGGTCGAGCGCGGTCCCAGCGGCAATCTCTTTGTTGTTTGCGCTCTGGAGGTTCTGCCCCTTCTGCGGCTCAATAGAACTGCTTCCTGTCACACCTAATGATCTAATGTCACAATAGCCTCTTGCCAGAAGAGACTGACTCTTCAAGTAGAAGACCCTGTCTAGCTCCTGTACCAAACGGACCCTTCTCTTTGATCTTCCACCTTGCCCTGTCCTTCAAGAACTTCACAAACGCTTCGAGGGTTTCGTCTCTTCCAAGCATGAAGACATCGCCAACATAAACTGTCAAGAACATCAATCCGAGTTTCGCGAACAGCCTTGGCTGCATAATGCCTTGTTCTAGGCCAACTCTTTGCAACCTCCTGCGAACATCTGGAACCATTGCGACGCAGAAGCACGTTCTGAGTCTGGCTGCTGTGACATAAGAAGCGCATCTTTGATGTCCAGAGTCATGGCCACGAAGGTAGGGCATACATACATCTTTGGAGGGGTGTTGGCGCAAATGTCTGTTCCGTCTCCACTGTCACTTTGCGCTGTCTGGCCACCAGCCTCCGAAACCATCCTACCGGCGAGGGCTGTCCCTTTAGTTGGCACTGGTATCACGTGCACTGCCTTGGCTTTTGAGCAAGCCATCAGACAAGTCCCGAACTGATCTTGCCTCTCTTGCACTCTGTCTTGAACTGTGTTCGTCCTTCAACGCCTGCTTCACAGCTTTGCCCAGATCTGGCTTCTTCTCGACGCTACGCATACCTGACACCATGATGGGGCATAAACCCAATGCGTGGTGAAGTGCAGTTTGGCTGCCCTAATGGCTTGTCTCAGCTGCTCATTGAAAAGCTTTTTCACAATATTGAGCTGGAACTTGTTTTCCATCTCCAGTCGCTTGCAACCAGTTGAGCCAAAACCCGTTTCTTGCTTCCGGCGTTGGCCAATCCTCTTTCTTTGCACTCCTTCAACGTGTTGTCCCCTTTGAAAACCGTCTCATCTCAGCCCCCGCCAGATTCTCAATGTCTTAATGTCTTGAGCTTCATACTTCTCCTGCGCTTGTTCATCTTCATCCTCCTCATCCAACCAGACTTCACCTGTGGGCTCAAGATATGGAAACCCCGAACTTCTGGGTTGGGTGGTCCTTTAGTCTTTAGTCGATGCGGTGGGAAAAGGTTTCCCAAAGCTTTGTAGTTTTCCACCTTCTCAAAGTGCCTCCACACCTCTCCAGTCACCTTCAACGCTGTTACTGTGCGCCATGACACCTTTGCTATCTATGCCATCCCAGAATGAACTCAAGTGAGGTACTTTGTCAGCACCATCACTCTTCCTGCTGCTCTTCAATCATAACTTCTCTTTCTTCCTTCTTGTTCGCAGCCTCAACGTTGTAGCTTCTGGCCTCAGGGCCTCAGTCCAAAGACAATTCCGTTCATTGCTGATAGGAATCTCGATGCCTCGCTCATTGTGGCATAGCCGCACACCACCTTCTTCACCTCCAAAGAATGCTCCATCCTCCGCGAAGCTGCGCAGATGATGGGACTGGACATTTCCTAAAGCAAATTCTTCAATGAGCGCCACATCCTTTCGATCATGGCTTTTGACGCGGCGCGAGATTTTCTTTCCTTGGCGCCAACCATCTTCGATGCCTCTGTTCCAAGCCTACCAACGCGGTGATCACACCTTTTTCCCCTCTCCCACACCGTTGATCTGGCGTCATCATCACTTTCTCACCTTCGCGCTCTCTTGGCCCCACTCTCCTCTGGCATAGTTTTTAAGCCTCACCATCTTCGTACTGAACTTGAGGATGACCTGGATTCTGAGGCTCCTCGACTTGCTGAACTCTCTCCCAGCAATCCTTGTCGCGCCCCACAAATGTCACAAGCGCCTTTCTCCTTCTCAAGTTTTCCTTTCTTCCTTGGGCCTTCTGCCTTTCCAACTTCCTCCGTCTTTCCTTTGCTCTTGCCTTTTGCATCCTCTCCTTTGGACTTTCCTCCTCTCTTCCCTTTGTCACTCAACTTGCCAACGTGGCCTCGTCCATGCTGCTTCTTGTAGGCAACGTAGAACTATTGCCACTGTCACCCCATCCGTGAAAGCCAGCGACTCCAACTGCATGATCTTGTTCTTCCAAGCCTCATAGTCTGTTGTATCTCCAATCCACAACAATGCCAAGCTTGTCCTTTCACATGCCTCACCAACTTCAATGGGTGAGCGCTGTAGAGACGAACTGCCATCCCCTGCGTGGCTCCTGACACCACAATACCACCACTATTGCATGTTTCCCTGCGCGAACTGCTGGCGCTAGCTTGCCTTGCTGGAGGGGCTGGACCCCTGGATCAATCAATATCAAAGAGGCAGCAGACTGGCAAGGAGTTCCACGCAGAAGAAGAAGTATTTTCACGCTGGACACAGATGGGCAAGGTCAAGTGGGTGAAGAGCGGTCAAGCTGGCCCTGCTTCACCCTTCGTACTGGAGAGGGGAAGGAAACCTGTGGCTTGGGTCGAGAACGCCGTAGTGCTCGTAGTGCAAGTGGCGTGTGCAGCGCACGGCTCCGCTACCATGTAAAGCGAAGCCAAGAGCACCGATTTTGGCTAAAAGCTGGGGCCCAACTGTTTCAGGTACAGTTCTTGTTTAGTGCGTGTCATCCAGAGTGATCTGTTTTCTACGTCGTTTTGTCAGGCGCTAACCATTTCCTCAGTTCACCCACATGCTCGTGAACATACTGCAGTTCGGGCGGTTGTCGTTGCACTTCGAAAGAAAAAACTGAAGCAAAGCACCTGCAAGCTAAGCTCAAGGCTGCCAGCGGTGGAAACCCACCTTTCATGCAAAGGTTCCCCACCTGACACAATGGCACTACCTAACCACAAACAGGACAATTGAACACTCCGAAGCTAAGCGGCTAAGCGACACAACCTGTCATTAATTCCCACTGTGTCCCAGGCCGAGGTGAACAGATAAGGGTTCCGGTTTGCTTCTTGCCAAATCAGCTGCGCGATTCTTTGGATACACCGAACCTGTTCATTCCGCTGACAATGTCAAGCTTGTTGCAACCAAGCAACATTCTCTGCTGAGAAGCCATCTGCATCCTGCTGAGTGTAGCAGAAGAAATGGGCACTAACAATCATTCATGCCTATTGCAGCCCAAATGTGATGGGGGCTGAAAGGGCACACAGGGGAAATGCTAAACTAAACAAATAACTTAAAAGAACGATTCCAATGGCAAAGGGCTCCAGTCAGATAATGGCAACGCAAGCCCCCAAGTCCCTTACAGGAACGCACAAAACAATCGCTAGCACAAGTTTTGCCTCACAAGGTGAGACCTCCACTGCAGAGAGCGAACAGTTTTCATCATCCTTTAACTCAAGTTCAGCACCAGGTTTCTGCAGGTCCACCTGCTGATTTTTTGCAGGACCGGCCACCAACTTGCCGACGTTCCGTGGATCTTGGGCAGCTTGCCACCACCTACTCATTAATCCCGCGTCCCAAAACGAACCGGGTTCCGTACAGTATACTTCTCTGCAACAGTCCTTTCGCTACGCGGTCACTTTCCGCAACCTCAAGCTCCCCTTTCTCTACTTGGGAATGGCAAGGGACAAGAGCCAGAGAACCGTATAGACTGTCAGAAGCTGGGGGTCAGAGAATGGGCTGGAGGCGTGGCTGCCACAAAAAATGATGTTCCCGCTTCTTTCATGGTTTGTCATTCCCCAGATAGCGAGAGCTATTCAGGTTCTTACTTTAAGTAAAGGAGAAGGTGCGTGTGCGCCTGGAGCATGGGTGCTAGGGTGCAACTAGAGGGTGCCGTTGCTGGATGTGTATGGCCCGCGTGTGCACTTTGGAGCCTTGGGTCTTGGTGCTGCTGCAGGGCACTGCAAAAACATCTTACGCATTCTTATGCTATCTCCTAGTCCTTAGCAAAACAAAAACGACAAAAAGGATGCAAAGCCGCCATTATCTGCATTCTTTGACGCTACCAGGCTGGACTGCTGGGACTATTGTCAACACTTTACACGAGCCTGGGCAGCTCTCAAAAGAACCTGCAACAAAACCCGCACTTCACCCTCGCTTCGAAAGCCAAACTGGGACAACGCAGCCATTTTAGGACAAAAGACTATACCAGCAACGAGCAAAGAGCGTAAGCAAAGAAAACCGCCCAGACAGCAGTCTGAATAAATGTTCTCAGGCGTATTCCACACCTAATTACCTGAGTATCATCACTTCACCAGCCGATGTAAGGCCAGCAAACCTTCTTCCCCCACAAACAAACCACCAAGTAAGTATAGCACTATGACCTGGTTGGCAAAAATATGTGGCTTCTTGGTAGAAAGAATGATTTGTCATAATAGATGGCCACGCTTACTGTACTTGTTTGTAGTGAAATATAGTGAGTTACAATGATCAGTTGTTACTTGGAAATGTTCTCCTTTGATTTGCCATGATTTGCTGCTGTCGAGGTTTCTGCTAATCCGCAGTGATCTGTGGTCATACGTGATGATCTACGTCAATGACCTGCAAACATTTGGTGACATAAGGAGTTGCGTTGGTGGTCTGTGGTCGAACGGTGATTTGGAATGCTTGGTGCCAATGTATTGTGTATCATCTGCTGGTGAACTCTATTCTCCCGTGTTAAAGTGTGTATTCTCTGCATGGTGATCTGATCTGTGGAAACTCCCGCACCGTTCAGACAAAGCGGGAATTGAATCAGCTCTGTGAGCTCACCTTGCGGGGCCATAAAAAGAAACAGGTCATTCGAGTGAGGCAAATGTCAAAAGAAATCAACTGACAGAGAAGGTGTTCAGCTCCCCTTTATTGAAAATATAAGCCGACCCAGGTTCCAAACAGCAACCCTAGCCAAGTTCCTTCTGACCTCACCAGAGACAACGAAAAAAGAGAAGCAGCAAAAACGAACAACCCTTTACCAAAACATCGCTGATTCTCTACATTGTGTGAAAGCTTTCTGGCCCTGCAGTTTACTAATCAGTTTCGTCAAACAAGTTCGCAAGAAATGCAAGGTAAGAAGACTAGAATGCGCAAACACTTCGCAAACCAAGCCAGAGACTCAAAGTGAATGGATTTTTTCACACGACAAAGAGATTGGAACAAAATTGGCCGCTCCTTGTCCACCCGGATCTTGCTGAGGACAAATGCCTCATCGATGTGTTTTGGCAAGGGGAGCTGCACAAGGATCGCGTGCACCTGCTCGAAGCATCAAAAGGAACGAAACAAAGTCTCAAGTAATCTTCCAGGAGCTGGTCGAGAGCCGCGTGTATCATATTCACCATCGGCCGACCAGGCCGGGCCAGCGCCTATGATCTCGAGCCAATGATAGGCCCTGTGCTGGGGTACCCCTCGGGACTTCATTGCCATCCTGGTTCCACCCGGGCTCCAAGCGTTGACCCCTCGTCGCTTTTTGTCCAATCATCCCCACCCGTGCCCGTGAAAGTTAGGAAGAAGGACTGAATCAAAGAAACATGATTTCCTGGACAGTCATTTTGAAGGGATGCGTTGCGCCCTTCCCTGACCCTCTCCGAAGCAGATAGAGCGGATTTGATCCCCCTTCGATCTTCGTGAAACATGTTCTACTCAACAGCAAACTGACAGACCACCGCCTTGAAAAGAGAGGCACCGCAAAATTTCAGCAACCTTCATGCGTTACGATAGGCCCTCCATAGGCTGATAGGCCTAGCCTGGCAAAGTCCTATGATAGGACCGTCCATAGGCCTGTGATAAGGGGTCCATAGAGAGAGCCACACCTTTGTCCACACACATCTGTAGAAATGAATGGATGTCTCCCAGGCAGCTCCAATTTGAGGCCACACCAGTTGACAGCACTGACACCATGGCCTTACCTGAACCTGGCAACCTAGCACCTGAAGACCATGCAAAAGAAGAAGCCAGAGAGCATGACACTCCAGTCGACGTAGGGGTCGAAGAAGAAGAGACGATGGAGGTGGACTTCTTCTGATGGCGAATCTGCCACCGGCCAATGAGCCCTCGAACATGCAGATGCAAAAGCCCCTCCAAGTAAAATCCACCCATCCATACATAGCCTAGCATAGCATAGCATAGCATTACATTGACAATATCATACAATTACTGTATACCATACCATACCTTTATTTATACAGCTGTCAGCCCAAAAGAAATCGTGGAGACAAGAAGCAAAACTCGTCAACGTTTCGCCTCACGTTTCACATGACATGAAGCAGCTGATGGCACTCTCATCTTTTGACCACGGGGTTTCTGCGTTCAACTCAGTCTTGCGACTCACCCATGGTTGGCTTCGAAAATGATGCGCTTTAATGCGGTGCTGGAATCGAGCAGTCTGAACTTGCACATACACTGAGACAGGTGGTTTTGGTCTCGAAGCAACTGCAAAGACCAAGACGGAGGCAAACAGCATTGCGTCAAAGTCGTCAATAGTAAAACTCAAATTGTGTTGAAACAAACGTAGGCTGTGCAAAATTGGCAGCTGGTGAAAAAGCTGCCGCAATCTATGGATGGATTGCGTGAGTTTAGGGGGGGGTAGAGAGGTGGGACGACTTTACGCGAACGGATGGTCCCTTGACAACTTGGTCCCAAAATTGCACGCTTTAAAGGTACTTATATACAACGTAAGATAAAAGATATGGCTTTGCTCAGTGTCCTGGACATCATTGTGGAACTGTGGCGGCTCACTCGTTACAGGATGGTATCAAATGCATGTGTCCACAAATGACCAAATCAAGTATATCAAACAGATTAAGTTTTCTTTTGGGTTCGTACAACGTACTGCTGACGTAGTAAAGATAATGCACTATCCCTCCTTTGTCCGGAAACGTTTCTTACATTACATTGCATTGCGTCACATTACATACATACACACCCACACGCACTTTTCAAACAAGTCGTGCAAGTGTCGCGATCAAGCACTGCCCAGAATCAATTCTGCACCTTGAGATCGCTATTCAGCTTCTCTAGCTCAAACAGCAAATCCTGCGCTATCAACTGTGTGCAAGTCCATTGCGACGATGACGAATCCGCTTGCTTCTTTCAGAATTTGAGCTCTTCCCGCCTACCAAGCTTTTTGCGGAGTACTCACAGCGATCGATGCTGGTCTCAACAGTCGGGGTCCATTTCCCATTGACTATATAACCGTCAGACTCTGGATTCTCAAGGGAGGCTTCAAAACAGTAGCAGGTGGTCATGTTCAAATTTCGGTCAACCAATCAAGCAATCAGCTGTGAGCTGCAAGATCTCAGAATTGGATGCAAGAGTTTACAGATTACAAAGCGTTCAATCAAAGGACATGCGTGCACAGTGGAGCTAGCGCTCCTCCTGGGAGACGGTCTCTGGGAGAACAATGTCAACGGTATGAAAACCAACCTTCACAGCTGCACCGCCGAGTTTCCTAGTAGTAAGGCTAGGAGCCCCTAGTAGTTTTTTGTTACTAGTAGGTGCCAGGAGCCCCTAGTAGCGTCCTTGTTCCCAGTAGTAAGGCCAGGAGTGCCTAGTAGCGTCCTTGCTCCGTAGTACTTTTCATTGGTTTGTTCTTTACCAGTGGCTGGAGATGCATTTCCATATTCTTGACCGGCATAAGTACAAGCATGTGCACAACCTCCACTGCTTCATTGTTCCTCTCTGGTTCTTTGGCAAACACACTTCAACAACTTCAGCAAGTTTGCCTCCTCCGCCGCCTTCTTCTTGTTCCGGACCTGGGAATACAAGCTCAATCTGAAATAAACCATTACACCAGCATAGACCCCAAACAGTTTCAACAGTCTTCGTTTAGACCAATATGAGTCAAAAACGATTTCTTGGCACGCCCTACCTTCACCCCAAGAGCAAACTCCCTCATCAATGAATTTTTTGTCGGCGTTGACATCGCTATTTGTTCGGCCACACTCCTCTCCAGTAAACCGGGCCACAGATACCAGCCACAGAGTTCAGGGGCGCGGCCAAGACAACGACAAGAGGAGGACAAGGCCCAGCCACGGAGCTCAGCCACAGAGGACAAGAGGAGGACAAGGCCTGGACACAGAGCCCAGCCACAGAGCCCAGCCACAGAGCACAAGAGGAGGACAAGGCCTGGACACAGAGCCCAGCCACAGAGCCCAGCCACAGAGTTCAGGGGCGCGGCCAGTGAGTGTGGCCAGCTCTTTTTTTCTAAGATAGAACTCCAACAGTAAACTGTTTGGGGAAAAAAGAGATTTGCTGGTACGCTCGCAAGCAACTGAAGGACTTTGAGACTTGGTATTGTGGATTCTGCTTGCTGTAAGCCTTTTAAACTGTTGCAATATTTCGTTGGGTTTGAGGCTTTAGGCTAGTCAGCTAGTAGCTGCTAGCTGGCGGACATTTCTTCGCACCATTCGAATTGTTTTGGCTCATCTGCTCTCTTGCGGTCATGCTTCAACAGAATAGCAAAGCTTGACGGTGATCTGTCTTGCGTCGCAGCCAAGGAATCGCCCTCGTGATTGGCTACGAAGTGAGCCCTTCTTAAGTCTCACGTTGAGGTTCCCTTCGCGCAAAGTGCTGGCAAAGCACAAAGGGCAGCCTACTCCAGCTAAAAGCATTCTCACTGCAACGCCTCACTTTGGCATGGCTCATGGTTGCATCCACGGTTTCCAAGGAATCTAGACTGGTAGCATTTGCACAAGCATGGGATACCCACCTCAAAACGACATGAAACTTGACCATGAGAAACCTGCTACTAGTACACGGTACACGTGATGTTGCAACCCAATGGACGTTATCAAGAGAGTTTGTTCATGGAATCAAAATAGCATCAAACACAACAGAACCTCAGCTACAGCATGCAAACCTAGCTGGGATGTCATTTGATTAAGAACACGTTTCCAAACTCGTTGCTGCGCTTTGTCATTGCCGCATTTTTGTTGAAGCCATTGTTCCAGGCCAGCTATTTGTTCTTCTGTGCGTTGTCCTGCTTCTCATGCCTGCACAACATGCAATGACAATCAGGGTTGGGAACACGTCCCTGGTTTAATGGATGCAATTTACAGTGAAGTTCTCCGCCATTATGTTCAGCTCCTTGTGAGAACTGGCGACTTTGTAGTACAACTTTAGTACGCGGAGTATCTGAGGAGCTGGAAGATGAGAACTGGCGACTTTGTAGTGCAACTTTAGTGCGCGGAGTATCTGGGGAGCTGGAAGATGAGAACTGGCGACTTTGTAGTACAACTTTAGTACGCGGAGCAATCTGTGGAGCTGGAAGCTGAGAACTGGCGACTTTGTAGTACAACTTTAGTGCGCGGAGTATCTGGGGAACTGGAAGATGAGATCTGGCGACTTTGTGGTACAACTTTAGTACGCGGAGTATCTGGGGAGCTGGAAGATGAGAACTGGCGACTTTGTAGTACAACTTTAGTACGCGGAGCAATCTATGGAGCTGGAAGCTGAGAACTGGCAACTTGGTAGTACAACTTTAGTACGCGGCTGAGTCATCTCTCGCGGCTGCTCTGGTGCCCCTGCAGCTGAGTCATGTCTCCCGACCACCCGGCTCTCTTGAGAGGTTGACAAATTTTAGCTGCTTTGCTTACTCAAAAGTGGTCATTTCGATTACTTTCTGGAGACCTCAAAACACGTGTTTTGAGACGTTGACAAATTTGAACTATATAATTAGCTTCGCGTCTAGACAAGCTATCACATCATAGTTAACGTCTAGCTCCAGTTAGCTTTAGTGGAGCTAGAGCTAGAGCTATCTCCTATAGGTCAATTTGTTCTTATAGGAAACTTCCGCCGGCTTGCCCGGGAACTGCTTGTAAGGGCTTTGCAATGGCTTCTGCGTTCTCAGCGTCCAACTCGGCGTTCTTGCGCTTTGCAGCGCACGCCTCCAACCCCGACTTTGCTGGGTTTTCTGCCAAAAGCTGATGGCGAGGTAGATCTCTACGACGGAGACCAATCACAGTAGCAGAAGTGTCTGCCTGCCTTCCGCCTGCGAACGAAGAATTTCGACTTCTGTTCCTGGTTTCTTTGGTTGTGTCTGTCCTGCATCCTTCCTCTTTTTGTACAGCCAGAAGCGGCTGCCGCAGGAAGACGGCCACAGTTGCACAAGTTCCAAGCTGAAAGCAAATGCTCGGAGCTGTGGCGCTTCATCTCCCTGAAAATAGAATCTTTGGCAAAAATTGGTTTCATCCACAGGGCTATCCAAAGTGATTTCCAATAGCATGCTAGCAGTGACGCCGCTGTCTTGCAGTGAGAAGAGTTGATCTTGGCTAGTTTAAACAAAGCCCTTTCAGCCACGGCGCTGGAGTCATGAAGCCTAAGGACCTTGAGCTGATTGAGACTTCCAGCAACCAAGGAGGCCCCAGCAGCTTTATCAGCTCTTCCCGCGGCGTGAGAGATCTCACTGCCGCACGAGTCAGCCCCACTTCTTCTTCTTCTTCTGTGGCCTTTCCTTCCTCCCAGAAAGGTTCTGAGCCATCATAAACGATATATGCAACTGTGAGCCTCTATAATCTAATTTGCCCTTTGGGGCCAGCAGTGCTCAGCTACCATGGTATTTAGCAGCCACGGCAGAGAACTCCAGGATTTGTTGCACGACCATGCAGCAAAACGCTCAAAAATCCCTTAGACATCAGAGAACAGTGCAGGCTTGGGGAAGGAAAACCTGAGCCACTATATTATATTTTCAGAAACACGGTTCTTTTGCAACCCTGAACTTGGAACAGTGGCGAAGCCATTCCAGTGCAGGCCCACCCACCCCCACCAGGGACAGCGCAAATTTTTCCTTAGCCTGTCAGCCAGTCGCGTCCGCACCACTCCAGTGACGCTAGCAGAACGTAATGTTCCAGAACGTGGACAGACATGGTGCTTGGCTCCTAAACATACCAACTTCGTAGACTAAGCGCTCGAGCTGGTGTTGTTTTGGAAGAAGCGGCAACAAGAGCTTTCATTTGTAGACCAGATTTGTAAGACCCTCCTCCACGAGAAGAAGACAACTTCCACATATATATATATAATCCAAGACTCAGAGATAGAAGAAATTCCCGAATATTCAGAATTTCCATGTTCTATTTGAAATTGCTTTCGGTGCGCGCGAAAAACAATTTCAAATAGAAGAAGAGGGCTTCGCCGGAGCATAAAAGAGGTGTTATATTATGTTATATAGCTACTTTTGCAAAAACCGCTAAAAAGCCTAATATTTACTATCTTCTATATGAAATCTGTCCGGTGAGGTACATCTTCTATTTGAAATGTTTGTTTTGGATTTTCTATTTGATTTCATTTTGGGTCCATTCAAATGGCTTTTTCCTCGCCGATCTGTTGTTTCTTTGCTGCAGATGGTATCTCTGGGAAATATGCAAGCGTTGATGAATAGATCTAATACATATATAGAGATAGAAACATATTCACAACAAAACAACAAAAATATCCAGAAACATGACCTATTTGGGAAAGTCATTTTTACGAGGCCCCAATGGGATTGATCTTAGGGTTAATTATTGGAATGTATGCTCTTCTTAACTTTGAGGGAGAAACCCTTGTGAGAGCCATGGTGGACAAGGGGCCATTGTAGGAAAAGGCTGCTTGGCACTCAATTTCAAATAGAAAATATTACCAGATTATTTTGTAACACATCACATATACATGCCTTCTATTTGATGTGCCTGGTTGCTTTGGCAATCTTAGAATGCCGGGTCTGTGTGTGTGCTTTTCATCTATCAGACAATTCTTCTTTTTGTCAAATTTTTGGGGAGTACAAACAAATCCTTCGACGAGTGTCAGTCGTACGATGATCTGAAAAGCAGGTAAGCGTTTTCCAGTGTCAACGTTGCGTGGTCAGAGGAAAGCCAATTCGATGGTCAGAACTTCCTCGTAACACAGGGGCTCAAAAGAAACATTGCACGCCACACGCACATTCTTCAACACGTTTTTTTCTCAGAGGCGCCCGTATTCAGCCATGGTTGCGTAATGCATGCAAAGGGCCAAGAACAGACAAACCTGACGCAATCGCATCTACACTCTTGGAGCTGACGGAATCCTCGAATTCAAGGGATCGGAACCTTGCCGAGCTCCTTCGCCAGTACGGGTTGTGGTGCGCAGACCGCGGTTGCTCAGCATTGCTTCAAAAGCAATTGTGTTGTTCTATGGACTGACCAATGAAGAAGTACCTTGTTACGTAGGCAGGTATCCCGCGCGCTTCAAGAGCATTGACCAAACTGTTTACTGCGAAGTTGCCATGCGCTGGCGGGACCACCCAACATTGCAGCATCTCCCAGAAACACATGAAAGCTGTGGCTGCCAGAGTGATGATTTACTGGATGTGTGAAGTGACACGAGTTGCTGCAACTGACACAGCTCCGAAGCGATTCAGCTGCCCTAATTGTATGGAAAAATGCAAACGTGTGTATTGTTTGGAACAAGTACTCACAAACATCTAGCTGTCATTAATGTGTACTGCCCTAAGCAAATCTGGACATCACAAATGTGCCTCATATCCAGAAACACCCCTGGGCTGATTTTGGGTTGACAGAAACCAACTACTAACAAAAACCGAGCAAGAACATAAGAAACCAATTTTTAACAAGCAAGAAGCTGTATGGCAAGAATCCTGCAAACCGCGTCAAAAGGGCATCTCCATGCACAGCTACCCATTCGTCTCTGGTCATAAGAACCCTGGCTTTGGCAAAACCAAATGGACATGAAGTGGAGGGCAGTGGAGGGTACGAGGGTTGTTTCCACGATCCATTATGAC